AATATCGTAGTAACTGGATTACCGAATGATGGTTATGGTGAACTTGGAACTTTTACACCGGCTATGCTTACTACTGTATGCTACTAAATGATATACCACATGTTTGGCATAGGTTAGTTGCTAATCTAAAGATGAATAACTATAATTAACTTGATGACCAAATTATAAAGGTATAACTGAATTAGTAGCTTTTCATGCAAAATGTTATCAAGCTAGCTCCACTTATAAAGCCTTGCATGATCTTTGGAGTCACTTTCTTTTTAGTTTATGACAGGTAAGTCTAGCTGAGTACCTTCTCGTACTCAGGGTTTATTTCTCACTTGTTGCAGATGGTACAGTCTATCATAGCTACTATAAGAACTGCATCTGTCCCGCCATAGACGAGGAGTAGGCCCTTGGGTAGGGCGTCTCTCGTTAATTCCCTCTATCATGCTTTTGTGGTTGTGATCATGGACTGGCACTGTATTAGAACAATGATGTGAGGTGTTGGTTTTCAAACTTAATTGCTTCCATGACTATTTTATTTGAACATGGTTTGTAATAACTCTTAATCGTACTCTGATGTATGACGTTGTATTTGTGAACTGATGTAACATGTGACATGTTTGTTGAATCATGTACGATCTTGGTTGTATGTTGATAGTTAATCGAGACCCTTCATGGTACTCGACGGACTACCAGGTTTATATGGGCTCAAGTATGATAGTGTGACCGCTTGTGGGCTACCATTATACTTGTACTCTTATAAATTGGATGGTTCTGCTACAGCTGGCTCCCCTAGCGGTGGCACGCACAAAGCGCGGCCGACTCCCTCGAGCACTACACCCTCCTCCACTCTAGATCGGGTGCTCTACACCCTCCTCCACTCTAGATCCGGCAGCAGGCGGCAACGCCCCGGTAGTGGGGAGCGCGTGCCCACCTATGGGAGGCCCGCGACCAACGGTGGGAGGTTAGTGCCTGAGCTCCAGTGGTGACAGGCATGGGGAGGAGGGCAACGCTTGCTTATCTAGGCATGGACGGTGTGGATGGGCTTGCACTACTACACTAAACTTAACCGAGGCGGGCATTTTTCATTATTCGAGGTAGGCAAAGGCAACCACCTCCGATGAAATGTCACGGTTAATCCATGAATAATGGAGGTGGTTACCCTGCCCGCCTCGACTAATCGATTAACCGAGATAGGCTCCTTACAACGCCTGCCTCGGTTAATAGATAAAAAAATCCGAGCCCACCGGCAAGACCGTTCCCGCACCCACTAGCCAGATTCGGCGATGCAGGACACTGCCATCGCCTCCACGCTGACCTCCTCCTTGCCTCCTCGCTGGATCCACTGGCCCCCTACCCCCTGCTCTGGATCTGCCCGCTGCTTGCCTCCATGTCGGCCTCCTCCTCGTTGGCTCCAGATCTGCTCGCCGGCTCCAGATCTACAAAGAGAGAGGGAAGAGTGAGGAGAGGAAGAGAGGAAGCGAGAGGGAGATGGGAGAGCTGACCTACCTCCACGCGCCGCCTAGCCTCGCGCCGCCCTGCCGCGTGACACCATGGCCCTATGTCGTCGCGCCGCTCGGCTGCACGCCACCACCCACCACCACCACCGGAGAGAGGGAGGGAGAGATGGAGGTATCCACCACCACCCGCCGAGCTCTCCATGCCAGATTCACCGTCATGGTGGATCCATGCCGCCGTGGTGGAGCCATGCCACCGTGGTTGGAGGGAGAGGGAGGAGGGGCCGGTGTGTGTGAGTGAGAGAGAGGGAGGAAAGGGTGGCGTCGCTCAGAGATGGGGCGCGCTCGGAGCCGCAGCGCTCGGAGAGGGGGCATGCTCAGCCACGGCGCTGAGGGAGAGAGTTGAGTGTGTTTAGGGTTTGTGTTTGCTTTTATATGCTGGAGGTAGTAGTGGGCTGGTGTGGGTTAGTGTGGGTTGGGCTTGTAGAGTTCCCGCCTCCGTAAATGGATTAACGGAGGAGGACAATGTAAAACACCCGCCTCGGTTAATATCGATTAATCGAGGCGGTTGTTTCTAGGTGACCGCCTCGGATAATCGATTAACCGAAGCGGTTGCGTTAGAAAGACCGCCTCGGTTAATGAGCATTAACCAATGCGGTTATGTTACAGTGCCCATCTCGGTTAAGTATTAACCGAGGTGGTTGCTAGCCCGGCTGCCCTGCCTCGAATAACCAAGGCGGGCAACCAGGCCGCTCGCCTCCGAGGCCATTTTGGAAACGCTGCGCAAAAGATTTTGTGTAGTAGTGTTGGCAGGATTGTCCATGGGTTTTTCTTTTTTCTTGTTTTTTGTATTAATTTTCACAGATGGCCTTGTGTCCACCTATGAAAACGTTCATTTTCGCAGATGGGCGCGGTGTCCGCCTGCTCAAACATCGATTAACACAGACCCCCGATCTGAGGCAGACACAATGCCCGCCTCCAGAAACAGATTTGGACCTAGGTTAAGTTTTGTGTAGTAGTGGCTCTATAAAAATGGTTTGCTTGATTGAGGACTCCATTCCCATCTCATCCGTCAATTGTATCGTCAAATGTTTCTGGGTTGTAATCGATCACATCCAAAAATTGTTCCCTATGATATATAATTTGCATCAAATCTCCAACCTTTATGGGTTAATTTTGGTAGGGTTCCAGGAGCAACTTTTACATGTGAACAACCAAACGGTCCATGGTTCATTAGCTCTGAGCGTGGAGCTCCATGAATCACGGTGGCTGGAGTCGCACGCGCGAGGAGGGGCATCCTCCGACTACTACAAAACAAGGATTTGTTGTAGTGAGGGACTTGATTGCAGACATATCATTGTTTACTAATGCTCTCTTGGCAGGGTTTTTGTTAGGACTTCTTCACTATATTCGCATCCCTGCCGAATGTACGAACAAGAGAACGGCTTTTGAAACCAAAACTAACCGAAAAACAGGAAGCCAAAGCTACCAAAATATGGCTCCACAGTTTTTGCAGAAGTGCAAGTCGTACTGAAGAAGGCCTTAGATAAGACGTGTGCTTGTCCCTTTAGTGCATGAAAAACATTCGATGTTCACTACAACATGACTCATTGTACAAGGCGTTTACAAATGCCTCCAAAAATGGTCAAAATGTCCCAAAGACATTTTGAGACATTTATTAAAACACCGGCTAAAACATGGAAGTAAAAGGTATTTTGAGGCGTTTTCCATAATGCCTTCTAATATCAACATTTAAAGACATTTTCTGACTGCCTAAAATACTATTTAGAGGTGTTCCGTATAACACCTTCAAACATTGATGGAGGCATTATTAGAAATGCCTCCAAAATCAAGCTATCCATATGGAACGGCTAGCAATACAAAATTCCATTCAAGAATTAATGAACCAATAAGAGCACACATTAACACTATATACTCCAAACATTTAATCTTGCATACATATATAGTTACATTTGTAACCAGATTGCTCCCTTTAAGTGAGATAAAACGCTTGACATGTTTTTTTTGAAATATAAGCCTGACATGTTCACATCATAGCTGTATACATATGCAAGTGTAAATCTAACTGACTATATGTTGCCTCACTGCTAGCCTTCCTACTGTCCTCAATTGGCAATTGCTCCTGCTTAAAATCAAACGTGTCCCAATGAGTGAAGGTATATAACTATATATAGAGTAGTTTGCGAATGTATTGGTGATAGGGATATTACCCTGAATTTTCAGAAATGACTTCAAAAACTAGAAACTGAAACCAAACTGAATTTCAAGATGTAGCTTACAGATCTGGTGCAGATGAGCACGATTCCTCATTGCAAAGAACAACTAGGCACGCGACGCCTTCTGGCCTTCTACTAGGCAGTCCCCCACGGCGAGAATAATATATCAGGACATGTCATTGTAGATTTGTTGTCAATTAAGACGCAAAGAAATTACAAGCTTCAAGCCACACATACATATGTTCCTGAATTCCAAGTGGTGCTAATCAGCTGAAATCTGAACAATATGACATAACAGTGAACTTCCTTAGGTAGGTTGGGTTGATGTTTCCATTAGTTTATATATTTCAGTTGCAACAAAGGGACCAACTCCATTAAAACATTGTACAAAAGGTAATGGTTTCAGGTGGAAATGGGTTATTAATTTCTTGAAATAGTGGATCAGTCACATACTGTACAATCAATCAGTACCTCATAAAACACCTGAGGATTTTAGGGAGCAATCAGTATTACAAAAATGATTTTTTGCAAGGCACCGCCTAAACATTAACGGAGGCGGTCACAAAATCCAACCATTTCGTAAAACACCTGGGGATTTTCGGAGGCGGACATTTTCATTTACGGAGGCGGTCACAAATAACCGTCTCGCAAAATGCATTTCCGGAGGTAGACATTTTATTTACGAAGGTGGTCATGACTGCCCATCTCGCAAAATCGATTTACGGAGGTGGTCGCAAAATGGCCACCTCCTAACATCGATTTACGGCAATTTTCGTAGGCGGACCTCTTATGTGGCCTTTCTCTGTTAATAGTGGCCGAGGCCCACACAAAGCCCACATTGGACTTCTACCAGGCTCATATAAAGAAAGCACTTAGGGTTTGTCTCCTGCACTCTCTCTCTCTCTCTCTCTCTCTCTCCCTCTCAGCTCTCTCTCCGTGGCGCGGCACTCCTCTCCCTCCTTGCCGCGGCGCCCCTCTCTCCTCCGCGGCGCGGCGCCCCTCTTCCTCCCTAGCGTGGCGCCCCTTCCATCCCTCCCTGGCGTGGCGCCCCTGTATCTCTCCTAGAGCGGCACCTCTCTCTCCTCCCCAGCGCGTTGCCCTGCCCCTTCCTGGCACGTTGCACCTGCCCCTCCCTGGTGCGGCGCCCCTCTCTCCCCGCGCGGCGTCCCTCTCTTTCCCTGACGTGACGCGCCTCCCTCTCTCACCCGCGAGCGGCGGATCCGGCGAGAGCGGATCCAGGGGTACGAGGTGTCGGAAGAAACAAACGGCAGCAGTGGAGGAAGAGATCACCAGGCCGTCGCCGCCAGCTTCCACACTGTTCATGCTGTCGTTTTTGGCGTCGGCCTCCGGACCGGCAACAGCTGGTGGTGGGGAAATCTCAGCGGACGACCTCGCGGCGGCGGACCAGCTAGTGCAGCTCAGCGTCAGCGGCGGTGACGGCAGGGACGAGGAGGACCAGTCCTATTTGTTGTTGGCCCGCTCAGTGAAAACCGCCGAGGACGAGGACGAGGACGAGGAGGACGCTGCGGGCCGGGGGCTCCTAGACCGGAGGGCAAGGAAGCGCTACCGGCTGGTGTTGGAGCTCTACGCCACCACCAGGCTGGTGAAGGCAGCCGGCGCCGGTGGTGGTGGTGGAAGGAGGCAGAAGGGCAGGGACAGGACAGAGAATTGAGAGCTGGAGATCGGGAGGTCGGATCAATCGAGCCAACACGAATGCAGTGCCGAAGTATTGCTCTATCAATTTTTAATGGATGTTTCCATGGAAAAGTTAGTTCAAAAATCAATGCTAATTAATTAATATTTAAATGGTTGGTCTGGGTCCATTATCAGTATAAAAATGGTAGACTAAATTCCTGGATTCATTTTCCAATTCAATTTGATTTTTATTTAATTGGATTGCTTGGGAAGAAATTAATGGAAGACAGAACATTTGGATTAATTCCGTTTTAATTTGATGATCGTTTTATTGGCTGCCCGTTATGCTAAAATAAATGCAATTAAAACTTGATTCTTATGGCATGGGGTGGAGAAACTATATAAATCGGAGGGAGCGACCATGTCCGCAAGGCTAAGACACAAAAAACATAGCAGTCATGTGCCACGGGCAGCAGCATGTCCTCGTTGCCATTGCCCTCATGGCTGCTTCCATCCTCCAAGGCGTCTCCTCGACAGCAATCACCACGGCCAAGTTGCCCGGATATGCAGTCACGACGGCTTATGATGTCCTCGCGCAGAACAATTTGCCACGGGGGCTTTTTCCGCTCGGCATACAGTCCTACGAGCTCAACGCTGGTGGAGCTTTCGAGGTGACCCTCCCCGGCGAGTGCAACTTCTTTGTCACGGTCGCTGAAAAGCCAATCAAATTTCGGTTTGATAGCAGCGTCAGCGGCACCATCAAATCTGGATCCCTCAGCCGCTTGTCCGGTGCGAAGATTCTAGTGGAGTTTGCGTTGCGTGGGTTCAACCAGGTCAACCGCGCTGGTAACCTACTCAACTTTCACCTAGAGAATTCCATCATCCGGTCATTCCCTGCCAGTGCCTTTGCGCAAAGCGCAAATTGCAGTGGCCTTGAACCTACGGCCTCTCTTCATTTGTGACGAATGCTTCATGACATGGTACATTGTCATATTTTTTCTTTTGCATATGCCTGGATATTTTGGAGTGAATAATAAGTATTTTGATTTGGTCTGAAATATATGATGTTTTCATTATTCTATGATCTGATGTGCTAACATGTGACTCGGATGTATTTTCATCGACTACGTATCAGGTCACAATGTATACAAGTCGAAGCTGCCAAATGCAAAAATACGAGATTTTGCTAAAATTTAGGTGCCTGAATTTTAGTTCCCTTTGAGACGATTGTTATTGCATATATTTTATATTGAAATTACAGCTTTACTTTGTTGCAATTTCTATAGCATATTCTACAATTTTCGGTTCTAAGAATAAAAAATCGTTAAACAAAACCACAAACCTGACACTTATCTATATTGGCACAAAGGTAATTTAATAATTTACAAATTATTTCTATAGTCAGACAAGGACACAAAATTGATATGTTTTGACACAAAGACAACGGACAGATCACAAAAGTAGTACTAGTTGGTAGTACAAGAGTGTTGCGTAAAGTCATCTTAAAATTCAAACATATGAAATATAGGAGAAGTGTTAAAGTTTTCCTAAAATTTTCATTTTCTACAGATGTTAAGCAATAAAAAAAACATTCCTATAATTTATTTTCAGAGTTTTCGAAGCTGAAGTTAAATTAAAATAATAATATATATGTTTCTATAAAATTAAAAATGTAAGATGATTAGGAAATATGCTTTGTAAATTAGTCAGAACTTTAATTGTATGTCTGTTTTTGATTGATAACAAAAAATTTCAAAACACACATAAAATAAATTTAAAATGTTTAAAACTAGCTAGGTTTGAAATCTAAAGCCTTTAAAAACTATTGAGATCTAAACTAGCTAGGTTTGTTTAAATAGCTGCCAAATTTGACAAAATCCTTCAAAAGTTTTCCTAATGTTCCAAAGTTATCAAAATATCAAGTAAGAGAAAATTTCCAAAGAGCTTAGAATTTTAAATAAAGGGTTACAATTGAAAATTCTATGTCTATAAAGCCTTTTAAAACTATTCGTGAACCAAAGTCCATCCCTTCCCTCCTTTCCTCTTTTTTTTAGTTTTCAGTTTGTTTTGTTTACTTTTTCTAAAAGAAAGGGAGACACTAGTGCCCAGACGTCCGGCCCTAGCAGCGCGTCTAGATGCAGCTCCCCACCCATACAATACGATCCACAGGAGCCGCCCGATATGAGCAACTCGCCTCAGCCTTCCCGTAGCCCCCGGTGCGCTGTGCGCCCCTTCTACAAGCCCTCACCTCGCCGTGCCCCATCCCCTAGCACACGGACTATGCCCCCATGACTCTCTGAACGTATCTCTGAAACATGAAATACTTGCGACATGAAAACACTTGAATGCAACATACATCTGAAGGAGATAAAACATTTGGAACATACACATGCAACATATGTATGAAACATATGCAAAATCCAGATTAAACACTTGCACCTTGCAATATGAAAACACTTACTGCAATGTAAGACTGAAACAGCTCAAACATTTGGAACATATACTGTTGTAGCATATGTGTGAAATATATGCAACATTCAGATTAGAACGCTTCCAACAAATGTCTGAAATAGATGAAACATTTTGAACAAATGCTTGCAACATACCTTTGAAACACTTGCCACATATGCAACATGTGCAAACATCCCAAATCTACTTTTGCAACATCCTTATGAAACACTTGCAACATACCTCTGAAATGTTTGAAAGACTTGAAACATGCATTTGCAACCTAGGGGAGGGGACGCCTGGGCCGGCCGCTCGATCGGCCATCAGGGTGGGAGCCGATGGCGAGCGGTGGCGCACAACCACCACCAACATCTGGCCGCGCTCGTGGGTGCGCTAGGCTCGGCCAGGGATGACCCGGCAGCCATCAACATGAGGGCAGCGACGGCGAGGCATCTCGACAGCGATGGGGGTTGGGGAAGAGGGCGGGGAGGCACTTTGCTCTCAGCAGACCTGAGATAGAGAGCGAGAGATGGGGAGAGCAGAGGCAGCGCGCGGGATGAGGGCGTGGCGAGGGATGGCCGCGGCGACAGGGCCGCACGATGTGGAGGTCAAATCTACGTGGACTAGGCACGAGATGGGCGGGGCAAGCGATAGGATGGAGCAGCTGTCATGGGCAAGGCATACGTTGCCGACGGGAAAGAGCAGCACGAGCAGAAGCGGCGAGGCAAAATGTGGTATCCATGTTACTTTTCTAACAATCTAAATGTATGAAAAAATGTGTAGTACCATTGCAGAGAAGAGCGAGGAAGTCGAGACAAGCAACTAATGGGGTTGGGCTTCACAAAAACCACCCAATCAATGGGAACAAGGACACCCATCTCGGTTGTCATGGGGAATGTTGGTATTTCTTAATGCATACAAAAATAATCCGCAAGCGCACGGAATTACCGTTGTAGCATTTCATCCGAAAGTATTCAGGTATCATATTTCCACAGGGAACGGTAGCGTAGAAGTCTCTTAACTAGTTCACCTAAGATAATAAGAAGAAAGATAGCTCGGGTAGTGAGGTTTTCTAGGTATATAGATCCTAAGTTAAAATAGCTTTACCACTGTAGACTTGCTTCGGGCACCGGCTTACGCTTAGTTTGCCAGGCGATACCGGCCTACGGCTCTACGATGTATCCGAATGTGGGGGATTACGAAGGACGGACAGGGCTGTCACCATCTGACGCCTACCCCTCAACGTGGGGGATTACGAAGAACGTGTTAGAAAAGTAACATGAATATCAAACAGTCGCTGCAGCAGTCATCTATGGCTGCTGCTACAGTGCTCGCTGAGGAGTCTTGCAACCACAACAACAGAGAACGGGCCTGCAAAACTAAACTAAACCTGATCGATAACAGAAGCCTTGAAGAATACAGTGAGTGCATACGACGATTTCTGAATCATTAAGTACCAACAGATGAATTCACGTACCAAGCTTGGCAATCAACTCGTTGATAACAAAAGGGCAGCTTGTATTCAGATACTCGAAGCCGTCGCTTGCAAGGACAGCCGTCAGATTTGCCGGAGTGCTGAGGAATCTGAAGCACGCCTTCTTGAGCCCGTGGCAGTGGTGCTGCTCTGCTAACGCCAAGATAGTAGCCGAAGTGCTCTCCTCTATGCAACTACAGAGTTTGTGCTCGCAGATCAGTTCAGCCCCTCCAAGCCATAACTGTCTGCAGCCACAAGCAGATGTTGGGACATGGCGGTTTGATCTTCCTTGCTCATCTCTGGCAACGAGTCGGTGTAAATGAAGAGCAACGCCTAGAAGACGTGCGCCTCCATGTCGTCTCTGTGGACGACGACGCCTGCGCTCTCCTTCATCTGGCCAAAGAGCCCTGCGTGGCCACGAGCACGCACCTGTGCACCTTGAACGTCGCGCCGCCGACCTGGAACACCACATCGGCGCCCTTCTTCTCAGTCTGGAAGAGATCGCCAAGGTGTCGATGCAGGTCTGATGGCGCTCGCAGGGAGACGAGGGGGGTGCTACAGTCCGCCCGTTAGGAACGAAAACTCCGTCCGATGAATTCCCGGGCCACCCGCCCAAGCCCACGCGGGGAGTCTGCGCGCACAGCAAGGAGGTGAGTCTGTTTATTATTTTTTTTATTCTATTGATCGACTTGCCTGCATGTCGTTTTCTACGCACTAAAAAAAGTCGTAACTACTAAACCAAGTATCCAAATTGAATTTCGATTGTACCATTATATTTCTTACAATAAATCCTTCAAAACAAGACCCCACATGAATATATTTAAATAAATATTTATTAATAAACATTTATTCTATAAAGATAGAACATTTTTTTATTATTGAACATAGGTGATGTTCTAGTTTAAAAAACAATGTTAGGCCTTCACAATAAAAATATTGAGTTCTAGTTTTATGTTCATGAAATTGTTATTATAATATATGTAAAATAAATACATAACATAAATAAATAATCTGGAGCAAAGCATAAGGAAAAAAAATAAAAACACGTGATAGAGCAAAATTTCAAAGAACATCACAGTGATACTTTTTAAACATCCTAAATATACTTAGACCATCACATATACACTAAGTGAACATAACTAAATACACCATAAAACATCACTAAATACATTATAGAACATCGCATATATATTACGTGAACATCACTAAATACATCATAGAACACCACGTATACTAAGTGAACATCACTAAATACAACATAGAACATCACTAAATACATTATATAACATCACATATATATTACGTGAATATCACTAAATACATCATAGAAAATCACATGTACATTAAGTGAACATCACTAAATGCACCATCGAACATCTTTAAATGCACCACAGAGCATCACTAAATACATTATAGAACATCGCATATATATTACGTGAACATCACTAAATACATCATAAAACATCACACGTATATTACACGTACATCGCAAAAAACACCGTAGAACATCACATGTATACCACAAAAACATAAAAAAAATCATAGAATATACCATGTATAACACGTGAACATAAAAAAACATAGAAGATTACTTGTATACTACATGAACATAAAAAACAACATAGAACATCATAAAGAATAATAAGAAAAGAAAAGAAAAGAAAAAGAAATAAAAGAAAATTAAAAAAATATTAAAAAATATTTAGAAATGAAAACAATAATAAAGACATGAAACAGAAAAAAATAAAAAAAGAATGATGCACGATAAGAAAAATGAAAAGTAAAAGAAAAAATAAAAACATGAATTAAAGAAAACATAATTAGAAAAGAAACAAAGAAAATAAATCAAAAAGAAATCAAAAGAAAAAAAGAAAAGAAAAGTAATAAAAAAGAAAAGAAAATATAAAAATGGAACATCACATGTACAGCATGCGAACATCAAAAAAATAATAAGGAAAAGAAAAAAAGAAAAAAAGAAAAAAAGAAAAAAGAAAAGAAAAATAAAAAAGGAAAATGAAATATAAGAAATAAAAAAAGAAT